CCTAATCGCTTTGAGGAACATCTGTGACCAAATCCAGAAATAAGCAGCAAAAGTGAAGTTCACAAACGGCCCACCCAAAATACTCCACAAAATGTGTTTCTACTCGGGCACCTAAGGGAAGGAGACAGGGTTGTACGGGACTGACTGCTTTGTCCTTACTGCATGGACGTCGCTGTTGCTGACTCCTTTTGCACTTATATTGCCTCCACCTTACTTTTTAAATCTACTCCTGGCTGTTTTTACGCTACCTTACTGACCTTGTGTTTTGCTTCCCTCATAAACTTGAAAGGAGAACTGAATTCACAAGACAAACGAAGCAAAAACAAAACCGAAAAGCGCCCAAAACAAGACAGAAACATCTAATCGTTTCTTTTATACGGAGTCTCTGAAATGGTCTGTTCAAATCTTCCTTAACTTTTCTGAGAGCAAGCTGTAAACACAGAGTACTCTGAAGCCTTCGTTGCTGGAGTCAATGCTGCCACATGAACAGCAGGGGGCAATAGCACACTAAGAATATGGAACTGTCCCAGGCTGTGCGAAACACTTCTGAAGGGTTTGCGCTGGGCTGAGTAAGAGCGCTGAGCTCAGCTCGGATGAAGTCTTTTGTTTTGTGTCCTATTTTACAATGCACGGTTCAGTTTTCCATGTGAATTGTGACTTAGACAGATTTCACTGTGACAGCTGGGCTCAAGAAAACGAAACCTAAAGAGGAAAATGGAAAAGGGAAAGAGGAAGTTCAAGTGTTTCAAATAGACTACGTAGAGAAGGCAGAAGTAATTCCCCGGTAGAGATACAAAGTTTGTCCCTTCGCTGTTACCATCCTTAAATTCTGCCCTTCTGTTTACAGATTAAACACCATCCTTACTTTCTCTCAGACATACCCTCATTTCCTGCCACTTTCTTTGCCACACAGTTTTCTGGTTTTGTTTGCTATAGTTTTGTGCTTCTAAAAGATACAGCTGTTTTAAACCAAATCCTTTCAGGGAACTCAAAGGGCACTGTCCATTTCTAAGTTTAGAGAGTGGATGTTTTGTGCCTTACGGATATTCGTTAGTCAAGGTACTCTTCACTGATGTGTATGTTGCAATAACAAAAATGTCCACTGTGGCCATAAAGCTTCAGATAAATAGCCCAAAACTATCTCTGAGATCTTTATCTGAGGACTCGGAGGTAGAATACAAAGTTCACATTGAAACATCAGAGACCCGAAGAACATTATAGTCAAGGATCATTAGGACTTGGAAGAGTAAAATTTGGTGTTTAGGCATCCAAGCGTGGGCCTTCTGCTGCTGCAGGGCCTCGGCCCACGCTCGACCCACGGCCCATGCTCGGCTAGCCCTCGCTGTTCCAGGAACATTCTTGCCTCATTTATCCAAACGACTCATTCCTTCACCCATCTGAAGTGTTTGTGCAAAAATCATTCTGTGTGGCTTTCCCAACCACTTATGTAAAGGGATGTTCAACTCCCTCCTCAGCCTCTCTTATGTGACCTTTGTCCACTGTTCTCAACAACAATAATGGCTATCAAATGTCACCTTAGACATTTAAATATTACAAATTAGACGACTGGATCAGACTCTATCAGTCAACTACTGGCTTTACTCTCTAGAAAAGGGGAAAACTAGGACTGATCCCAATAAAACCACAACCCTACGACACATAAAAGACGACAACAAAAGTATGAGTAAGTCAAGAATGATGAGAATTTCAGAAGAAAAAAAAAAGTGGATGACAGGCAAATATAGCAAGAAAATACTTATAACAACGAACTGAGATTTTCTTAAATTAAAAAAAAAAAAAAAAAAACAAGAAATTCAGACCCCAAACCATCTAAACAAAGCAAATCTTATTTTTCCATAATTTGTGTTTGTGGTTAAAAAAATTATGAAAAAGTATATAGCCCATAATCTGGTAACTGTTCATATAGAAAAAAGTTACAATTAATTTAAAGAAAAATTGAAATACAGAAATAATAGTGTGTAGCACAACTTCTTGATCCAGCTGAAATTTCACAAAATTATTTATTAAATTACCTAGAATTTACATTCATAGGCAAAATAGGCATACCTTGATAAAGTACATAAAGAAACATAACACAAACAATATTTTTAATTAATGATATTATAAAACCAGAAATCACAGCCATCAAAATGTAATAAAAAAAAAACCCTCTGGCCTTGAAATTTTTAACTTGTCTATTAAATGAAGGGAAGTGTCAATTGATATTGAGAATTTCTAGAAAAAGAAAACACAACAATAGTCTTTAAGATCCAGCTGAAGAATGTTCAGAATAAAAATGAGAT